AAAAAAAAAAAAAAAGGATGTCAAGGTTTTTGTTTTTTTTTGTCTTTTCTTTTTTGGTACTGGGGATCGAACGCAGGACGTTGCAATTGCTAGGCAAGCACTTTGCCACTGAGCTACATTCCAGCCCGGATGTCAAGGTTTTTAAACAAATACAATGTGAGCTAACTTTTGAGAAAGCCATAAAGGTAATGAAGGACCCCTCGGTTCCATTCTGTAAGGTCACATAGCTAAGGACAGTAAGGATTACCAACTTGTTCAGAATCTGTAAAAAAAAAAAGACAAGATTGTCTCAAATGAAGACAGTGGGAAAGGTATCTGCCTGCTCCCATGTATTGGCATAGATAGCAAACATGACCCAGTCTCCTGTCTAGTATTCTTCTTTTTTTTTTTTTTTTGATGGGTCATGGGGTCCTGTACTCTAGGCACCGTCCCTCAGCTCTTCAGCTCAAGGCTGGCGCTCTACCACTTGAGCCACAGTGCACTTCCATGTTTTTCTGCTTATGTGGTGCTGAGGAATTGAACCCAGGGCCCCAGGTGTACAAGGCACTGAGCCACCTTCCTAGCCCCCACGATTCTTTCTTGTACCTGGAGCAAATAATGCAGAGCAGCAGAGTTTAAATGGTACAACTTAAAGTGGGATCAGAGCCAGGTGCTGATGGCTTATGTCTATAATCCTAGCTACTCAGGAGGCTAAGATCTGAGGATTGAGGTTCAAAGTCAGTGAAGTCCATAAGACTCTTCTTTCCAACTAGCCACCAGAAAACTGGAAGTAGAGCTGTGGCTCAAAGTGGTAGAGTGCTAGCCTTGAACACAAAAACTCAGGAACAGTTCCCAGGTCCCGAGTTCAATCTTCATGACCAACAAAAAAATAAAACAAAACAAAATAAAATAAAGTGGGATCAATGAGACAGTGCTTGTTAATAAGGTGCTCATAAATCTAAGAGGGGGGCTGGGAATGTGGCATGAAGCCCTGGGTTCAATTATTTAGTACAACATAAACAGAAAAAGCCAGAAGTGGTGCTGTGGCTCTGGTGTTTGAGTGCTAGCCTTGAGTACTGAAAGGCTCAGGGACAGCGCTCAGGCCCCGAGTTCAAGCCCAGGACTGGCAAAAAAAAAAAAAAAAAAAATCTAAGAGGGAAGTAGAGCGATTCAGGGTACTTGCTACATTTTACAAATGGATGATCTCAACCTTGCTACAATGTCTCAATGCATCTCACTGACTGGTGGGAACCTCTGGATGTTAGGGAAGGTACTAAGCCAGAATGATTATACACTCCAGGAGCACATTAAGATGGATACTATTTTAATGTATGTTATTTTTACCAGCTGAGCCAAGTGTGTAAAATCCAGAGTTTGTATCTTTTTGCCAAAGACAGTACAAATGTAATTTCGCAGAATAAATAATTAGAACTAGTCTCTAATAATGGCTTGAAGATGACTTTTCAAAAACCAGCAATCGTTTACTTTACATTATGAATATTAAAAATGAATAACCTCAGACAGCTCAATTGTTTCTACAATCACCTTTTCCATTTCTTTGAACTGTACACAGATGAGATGACCCTATTTATTTTGTCATTAAACAAGCGTAGAAACAACTCAGACATATATTATCACCAGCTAGTAACTTTGTTATCACTCCAGCCCTGGATTAGGTAAATTAACAAGAAACAAATTCAGGAGTGGAATTGTAATCCTTAAATACTGATAGACAGTGTTTTCTTTATGCACAAAGACATCTACTGTGAAGAATCAATGTTCCCCTTTTAATTTTTGCCTTAGTTATGATTAAAAACAGCTACAAATTTGACAAGTGTAATAGCAATTCTCTTGTGGATATACACTGGTTCCAGGAACTCTTATAGCCACCAAAATCTGAAGATGCTCAAGTTTCTTATATAAAATAACTTGTATACCTCCTCCTGTATAGTTTAACTCACTTCAGAATTATTCATAACATCTAATAGAACGTAAGTGCTCTATAAATAGCTGTTATACTATAATGCTTAGGGAAAAACTCTGGTACATTTTGTCCTGAATGTTTTTCATCAGTGATTAGTTGGAGGTGGAATCTTGCAGATTTTTCTGCCTGGGCTGACTTCAAACTGTGATCCTTCAGATCTATACCTCTTAGGTAGCTAGGATTACAAGCATGAGCCACCAGAGCCCAGCTAGGTGGCAGATTTTGGATTTAAACTTTTCTTCATTTTTTTGTTATATTCATTAAAATGTATTTAAATTTAACAAGTTAAATATAAAAAAACTTGGGCTTATAGATTGTGTGTCCCTCCCATTTTATTTCTCAAGTATCTCTTTTTCTTTCTTTGTGGTGCTAGTGATAGAAGCCAGGGTACATGTTGTACTTCTGAGCACATTATGTCCCTTGTCCCTTGCACTAGTAGTTAATTTTTATCATAGTTTATCAGAAGTATCAATCTATAAGGGGTAGAAAGTGTTTTTTGTTTTCTTCAAAGATAGTTTGAGAATCTTTGGTCAGGATTTATTTGTTTCACAGCCAGAATCTAGCCAGAATGGACAGAGAATCTAGCCAGAATGGACAGCAGTCCTTGGGCACAGAAGGAAGGAAGCTGCTGTGTCTTATACAACTGGGCTTCTAGTCCCTTTTCCCATTTTCAAAATCCCCAGTTTTCCTGATCCTGGGAGCTGTGTGCCTGCCTGCCTGCCTGCCTTCTTTCCTTCCTTCTCTTTTTTTTTTTTTTGTCAGTCATGGGGCTTCAACTCAGGAGCTGGGCACTGACCCTGAGCTCTTTTGCTCGAGGCTAGCACTCTACCACTTTGAGCCACAGTGTCCTTACCTGTTTTCAGGTGGTTAATCAGAGTAAGAGTCTCATGGGCTTTCCTGCTTGGGCTGGCTTTGAACCACGATCCTCAGATCTCATAAGCAGCAGCCAGGATTACAGGTGTGAGCCACTAGTGCCTGGCTGCTTTCTGATGACATTTTTAGCTTAAGAGACTAGAGCTGTGCCTCGTGTGTACTTTCTATTCTGCTCCCTTAGCTACTCCGATCTTTACTTCTTTATCCACACTTTCCTAGTCTCAAGGACCAACTACCAGACCTTCACCTCTCTTCCTTCTCACCTATGCTGCAGTTTGTTTCTACAAAATACAGAAGGATGCTTCTAGCACCCTATGATTTGCACTGAAGAAATATTAAAGGTTTCCACCCACCCCCAGCATTAAGCTGGTAACAACCAGTTGTATGTCAGATAATAGCGAATATTGAACACTTACATGCCACGTCAATGTTAGGAGCTGTGTTTCATCTAAGCACCAAAAACAGAACTGAATACTAGGAATGTACCTCCTTTTGATTTTGAGAAACTAAAGTTTAGAGAGGTTAAATCATTTTACCAAGGTCACCTTGTTGGTATAAGGCAAAGATAAAACCCTAAAAGAATATGATCACTTAGGAAGCTAAAATACATTTGAACTTTTGGAAAATAATCCATCTGCAATCCAGGTCCAGCTTATACCACATGTGAGTCAGACCCTGCATGTAACCTGATTCTTACCTGTCAGCTTGGTGAAGGCCTCCATGTCATCGATTGCTGTGGAAATGTGATACTTTTTCCCTTCAGAACCTTCAATTTCCATGTAGGGGTCTGCTTTGAGGAAGGCATCTGTAATCCTAAAATCATTTGGTGAAAATGATTAGAGAAAGTTTGAATATTTGCTTTATATATACTTGGATTTTTCTTATATAAAGCTTTCACCCACTGAATACTTAGGGGATCTTTCTACTTTAGAAAAATAAACATTTGATGTATGATGTGCAAAAGAGACCACTTTTTTTCTCCTTCTTCAATCCTCAGATCTCAACCTCTTGTGCAGTTAGGATTACAGGAGTGAGCCATTGGATGCTTGGCTTTAAAGAAATTGATTGGGGTCAAAATTCCTTTGGGGTCTCTGAGCATGGACAGACTGTACCTTTTGTGGCAGAAAAAAAAAGAGATGAAATTCCTCTTGGCTTTACCAATTGCTATTTTTTTAAATTAATATTTCACAGGATAAGGGCAGATCATCTTAATCCTCCAAAATCAATTTTTAAAATTAATGGCAGGTGTCAATTCTTCATCTCTCACCAGCGCTCGCATTGGTGACTAACATCTGCCAGCATCCAAGGCCACCCTGCAGTGTCCCTTCCTGTATCACCCAAGCCAGTTATTCTTCCTCATCTGTACTACCATCCTCATTTTCCACTTCTTCCTCCAATCCACTTTATCTATCCTAGTTTTTGTTTAAGGAAATCACTCTAGATTGCGCACTTAAAATTTATTACACACTTTATCTAGAAATCTCAACTTGAGCCAAGTGTGATAATTGGGCAAAGCACCACAGAAGATGTTACAGGGACATGAAGAACCCATTTCCTTACATTGTATCGATGATGTTGCCCACTTTGTGCTGATAAGCTCTTCGGTGTAAACAGTTGCGTGTGTGGAACATGTCATACAGATTTCCAACCTCCTGTCAAAAACATGGCAGAAATATGGATGTGGGATCAGGTCATGTGAATTCTGATAGTCAACAAGGATATAAGAGAAGGAAAAAGGATGAAGGCAGACAAAGATCTATGAAGGGGCTGTGCTGTTAGAATCCTGGAGACCACCAGAAGATGGGGGTAAAGCGGTCTATTGATAGGCAATTCTCATTCTCAGTGAAGTAAAAACCTACTATCAGCTCTAACTTTGTGACAAATTTACTTATTTATTTGGGGCGGGGAGAATGGGGCAAGGGATTGAACCCATGGGCCCCACACACATTAAGCACATACTCTATCACTGAGCTATACCTCCCAGAGAGCCTTCATGTTGTTTTAGACATCCTAAACACATCCTTGAATCTTCTCAAAACTCTAGGAAACAGTATTGCCATTCTTCTATTCTTCATTCCTGAAAGACTTTCTGTGGATAATACTGTCTTATTCCAGAGTTACATGGTTATTATCAGATAGGGACCTGGTGGAGTTAAAACTCCAATTCTGGAGTTATTATTATTATCATTATTATTATTGCTGCTCCTGGGCTTGAACTCAAGACCTAGGTACTGTCCCTGAGCTTCTATTTACTCAAGGCTAGTGCTCCATTTGAGCCACAGTGCCACTTCCAGGTTTTTCTGTTTATGTGGTAGTGAGGAATCGAACCCAGGGCTTCATGCATGCTAGGCAAGCACTCTACCACTAAGCCACATTCCCAGCCCAGGAGTTATTAATTTTTAACTCTTTTCTTTTGTTTCTTTTATTGTGCCAATCCTGGGACTTGAACTCAGGGCCTGGCTATTGTCCCTGTTTTGTTTTGTTTTGTTTTTCCAGTCTTGGGCCTTGAACTCTGGGCCTGGACAGTGTCCCTAAGCTCCTTTTGCTCAAGGCTAGCACTCTACCACTTGAGCTACAGCACTGCTTCCAGCTTTTTCTGATTAATTTGGAGATAAGAGTCTCACAGACTTACCTGCCCTGACTGGGTTCAAACCTTGATTCTCAGATTTCAGCCTCCTGAGTAGCTACAATCACAGGTGTGAGCCAGCAGCTCCCGGCTGTCCCTTAGCTTTTTCACTCAAGGCTGGCACTCTACCATTGAGCCACAGCTCCACTTCCAACTTTTTTGGTGTTTAACTGGAAATAAGAGTCTCATGGACTATTCTGCCCAGGCTGGCTTTGAACCTCAGATCTCAGCCTCCTGAGTGGCTAGGATTATAGGCAGGAGCCATGGTGTCTGGCAGCTTTTAACTCTTCTGTGCTTTAAACTGCTCACCTGTCATATGATGCTATGTTATAAATATGCGTGTCCCCAGCAAAACTCATGTTAAAATTAAGTCCCAAAGTAATGGTGTTGTGAGGCGGAGAGACCATCAAGAAGTAATCAGGTTATGGGTTCTCTTCTCTCATGAAGGGATTAATATAGTTCCTTGGAGAGTGGGTACAGAAGAGCATGCTGTTGTGAAGTCAGTATGACACTTCATTTTTTTCTCTGTGTGTCCTGCTTACTACACTTCTGGCTTTCCACCATGTATGGAGCAGTATATAATCCTTACCATACTTGGGTCTCCAGAAAACAGACTAAGACAAATACAATGCAGAACAAGTAAAAAGCAACTTAAGATAATACATGCTGTGCATTTAGAGAAGATCAGCAATTGCCACTTCTTGTTTTTTTTGTTTTTTGTTTTTCAAATTGTCGAGTAGTTATTTCTAGACCAGGACCTCCATGATTCCTTTTCCTCTGATGTAATTTACCTTTTCTCTAGTACAAATATGCTTCTCATCGTCCACCTCACAGACTCGGGCAAACTTAAGAAAGCGCTTGTAATCAAAGTTGTTTTGGATTCCAAGATGATGACAGTCCCTAGAAAATTCCAAAGCACATAGATGAGATTGTTTTTCAATGAGGAAATTGCCTTAGATATTAATATTAAATTCATATAAAGATCTCCAACAACATTTCTGGAGTGTCCAAGCCATACCTGGCAAAATAATCCCATTTGTCCACATCAATGCCATTTCTTTTATTAGCCACGATTTCATACAGGAAACTTTTCTGTTTAGGACGTCCTTTGTACTGCCACTGGAAGCCAAGAAAACCCACCAGAAGTTTTAGTTTGAGGTCTGAAGACAGCCCAAGCAGACAAATCTGTGAGATTCTCATGTCCAGTTAATCAGTCAAAAGCTAGAACTGGAGGAATAGAAAATGGTAGAGAACCAGCCTTGAGAGAAAAAGCTAAACAAAAGGCAAGGCCTTGTGTTCAAACCCTAGTACTAGCACAACAAACAAAGAACTAAAAATCTCAAAGGAAAATTATTTCCCAACTTGTTTCTTAACTAAAGATAATATGAAAGATCAAAAAGGGAATAAAATTGATTTTCCATTTGAATGAGTTAATCTTTAAGTATTTCAAATATGTTAATAATAATGGATATACAAGATATACATGTTTGCTGGGCACAGTAGAACATACTTGTAATCCCAGCGTTTAGGAGGCTGAGGCAGGGGAATCACAAGTTCAAGACCAGCTTTGGCCACACAGTAAATTACAGCACAGTCTGAACTACACACCAAGACCCTGTCTCAAACCAGAGCAAACAAAACCAAACAAAATAAGATTTACAAAGCTATTGGCCCAAAGTAGGGCTGGATATGTAGTTCAAGTAGTAGAGCACCAGCCCAATAAGCAAGCCTGGCAATCATGAGACCTTGAATTCAAATCCCAGTGCCATGAAAAAAAAAATGAGACTAGATGATGATGTGGTTTATTTGCCTGCATGAAAACAGAACAATAAAACCTGTTGGAATTTTTAGGATGGAGGAGAGTGACGAAGCGGTGGGGCTGATGAGGACACTGTTGAATACGCATGTGAGAACATAGGTCACAGTGAGACCTCCCTTGTACAACTAATGTATGGTTAAAAAAATTGTGAGATAAAAAGCATCAGCGAGATCAAATTAAGTTTTTTGTTTTGTTTTGTCTTTTTGCTAGTCCTGGGGCTTGAACTCAGGGCCTTGGCACTGTCCCTGAGCTTCTTTTGCTCAAGGCTAGCACTCTACCACTTGAGCCATAGTGCCACTTCTGGCTTTTTCTGTGTATGTGGTACTGAGGAATCGAACCCAGGGCTTCATGCATGCTAAGCAAGCACTCTACCACTAAGCCACATTCCCAGACCTCAAATTAAGTTGAATGCAAACTTACCAATGATCCTTTGATTGGTGAATCAAGTATTCCAGTAATTTGTTCCTTGATGAAGCAAATATCTTCTTCAGGGACAAGACCGTAATGTTTCATGACATCTTTGAGTCCATTAGAATTAATCAGATGCTCAAACATGTGAACCGAGCCCTGTTCATGCTAGAAAAAGCCAAGATAATATGGCCTATTACAAATACTAACCAATGAGGGGCCTTGATTACATAAATTAGTTTGTTGTTGTTGTTGTGTGTAGGGCTTATACTCAGGGCCTGGGTACTGTTCCTCAGTCTTTTTGCACAAGGCTAGCACTCTACCACTGGAGCCATAGCTCCACTTCCAGCCTTTTGGTGGTTAGTCAGAGATAAGAATCTCAAGGACTTTCCTGCTTGTGCTGGCTTTGAACTGTGAGGAGCAGATCTTTGCCTCCTGAGTTTACAGGTGATTACAGGTGAGAGCAAGCGGTGTCAGCCCACAAATGGTTTTTGTGGTTTTTGGTGGCCAGCCCTGGGTCTTGAACTCAGGGCCTGGGTACTGTCCCTGAGCTTCTTTTGCTCAAGGCTAGCACTCTGCCACTTGAGCCACAGCTCTACTTCCTGCTTTTTCTGCACTTAGGAATTGAATCCAGAGACTCATTTATGCTGGACAAGCACTCTACCATTAAGCCACATTCCCAGCTCAAATTTAAATTCTCTCTCTCTCTCTCTCTTTCTCTCTCTGCTTTTGTTGGTTCCAGGGCTTGAACTCGGGACTAGGTACTGTTCCTGAGCCTCTTGGTGCTCAAGGCTAGCACTCTACCACTTGAGGCACAGTGCCATTTCCCCACAAATGATTTTTGATTCCAGGTAATTCTGAGATAGGATTCTACTTTATGTTTATTACCTAGTCTCACAATGTCTAAAATCTGTCAAATTGTGTGACTATTTTACCAGTCTTTTACAATGCATGTTAATCATTTAAATAGATTCCTTTTTTGGGGGGGAGGGGTCAGTTGTGGGCTTGAACTCTGGGCCTGGGCACTGTCCCCCCTCAGCTCTTCAGTTCAAGACTGGCACTCTACCACTTGAGCCACAGAGGCACTTCCAGTTTTCTGAGCGGTTTATTGGAGATAAGAGTCTCCCAGACTTTCCTGTCCCAGCTGGCTTTGAGCCGAGTTTCTCATATCTCAGCTTCCTGAGTAGCTAGGATTACAGGCATGAGCCACTAGCGCCCAGCTGACCCTATTTTTATGACATATAAGCATTTATAGTACCCAGAAGACTGTTTCTAGGTCACACAGGTAGAATCCCCTTTTAATGAGTATCACTTTACAATTTGGTTGTTTTTTTTTTTTTAATCAGGGTTGGAGTGTGAAATTAAAGTGTAGTTAGTACTTTCATCTAGTCTTGAAAAAGGGTAATGACAACCTTGCCAGTAAATTCAAGTGGTCAGTGCTTTAAGTCAGGATTTGGGTTGGTAGTGGCATGTTTGTTCATGCTTCTGCTCATTTGTTCACAATTACTAAGATCAAATGGATCCTGGAGACATCTGCCCTGGTCTTATTAAAACTAATAAAATGATGAGCCCAGTGACGGTGGCTCACGCCTGTAATCCTAGCTACTCAGGAGGCCGAGATCTGAGGACTGAGGTTCAAAGACAGCCCATGAAGAAAAGTCCCCATGGGACTTATCTCCAATTAACTACTCAAAACAACCAGAAGTGGGGGACTGGGAAGGTGGTTCAGTGGTAGAGCGCTTGCCTTGCATGCATGAGGCCCTGGGTTCGATTCCTCAGTACCACATAAGTAGGAAAAAAAAAGCCGGAAGTGGTGCTATGGCTCAAGTGGTAGAGCGTTAGCCTTGAGCTGAAGAGCTGAGGGACAGTGCCCAGGCCCAGAGTTCAGGCCCTACGACCAGACCCAAAACAACAACAACAACAACAACAACAACCAGAAGTAATGCTATGGCTCAAAGTGGTAGAGTGCTAGCCTTGAAAAAAAGAGCTCAGAGACAACACTCAGGCCCCAAGTTCAAGCCCCACAACCGACAAAACAAACAAACAAAAAACAAAACTAATGAGCTGGGTGATGGTGGCTCATGCCTGTAATTTCAACTACTCAGGAAGCTGAGATCTGGAGGATCAAGGTTAAAGTCAAGGTTAAAGTCAGTTCTGGCAGAAAAGTCTGTACGACTCTTGTCTCCCAAATAACCAGCAAAAAGCCAGAAGTGGAGGCATGGTTCAAATGGTAGAGCACGGGGCTGGGAAGGTGGCTCAGTGGTAGAGTGCTTGCCTTGCATGCATGAGGTCCTGGGTTTGATTCCTCAGCACCACATTAGCAGAAAAAAGGGCAGTGGCGCTGTGGCTCAAGTGGTAGAGTGCTAGCCTTGAACTGAAGAACTGAGGGACAGCGCCCAGGTTCAGACCCACGACTGACAAAAAAAAAAAAGAGCAACACATAGTAGAGCACTAACTTTGAATGAAAAAGCCAAATGGGAGTATGAGGGCCCAGTACTGGCATTAAGTAAACAAATACAAACATAAAATAAATCGGTAAGTCACAGACTAGGAGAAATATTTAACACACATATACTTGACATTATATATAAAATTCCTACAGATCAATAATAAATGAACAATCAAAAACCTTTCATAAGAGAGGAGCTGGGAGTTGACTCTAGGCACGTGATCTATCAGTAAGCCATACCACAACCCTTTAACAACTTTTTTTTTTTACTTCCTTTTTGGTTGTGGGGCTTCAACTCAGGGAGAGGTGCTGTTCATGAGCTTTTTTGCTCAAGGCTAGCACTGTATTACTTTGAGCTACAGTGCTACTTACAGTTTTTGGTGGTTAATTGGAGGTAAGAGTTTCATGGATTGGGGCTGGGAAGGTGGTTCAGTGGTAAGAGTGCTTCTCTTGCATGCATGAGGCCCTGGGTTCAATTCCTTAGCACCACATAAACAGAAAAAACCGGAAGTGGTGCTGTGGCTCAAGTGGTAGAGTGCTAGCCTTGAGCTGAAGAGCTGAGGGACAGTGCCCAGGCCCAGAGTTCAAGCCCCATGACCAGCAAAAAAAAAAAAAAAAGAGTTTCATGGATTTTCTTGCCTGGGCTATCTTCAAAGGAAGAGCCTCAGATCTTAGCCTTCTGAGTAGCTAGGATTACAGGTATGATCCACCAGTACCCCAGCTCAATAACATTTTTTTTAAAAGAAGTAAAACATTAGAAGAACCTTTGATACATGCCTACAAAAGATACACCAATAAAGTTCCAAGTATAAAGCATAGGAAACAGGCAATAAACTATGGTTTATTACAGGGAGGCAGTAAATCATCAAGATAATTCAGAAGAGCCCATCTGGAAGATGAAATGTCAGAGCTGGAGGGAGGTGGCTCAGTGGTAGTGCTTGCCTAGAGCACACAAGGCCCTGGGTTTGATTCCTAGCAACACACACACACACACACACACACACACACACACACACACACACACACGCACGCATAAAAGACAAAATGTTGGGAAAGCCATGGAACTTTCACTCAGTTATCAGTGGGAAGGAAGAGCAAGCACACTGGAACCTCTGGTTATTTCTTTTCCTTTTTTTTGTAATTTCCATATTTTTGTTAGAAAATACCGACAATACATCATTTATTGTTTTTGATCTGGTTGTTCTTATAAAGTTAAATGTGCATCTACCAGATGACCAGCGATTGCACTCCCAGCTATCAACCTAAGAGACCTTAAAATGCATTTCTACAATAGTCTTGTACAGGACCAAGTGAGCAAACTTGTACATAATGACCCAAACTGTGACATAGTCATATACTAGAATATGTCCCCAGCAATAAAGAGATTAGCTTCTCGTGTGTGTGTGTGTGTGTGTGTGTGTGTGTGTGTGTGTGTGTGTGTGTGTG